GCTCCGAGCACGGGGGCAAAGAGTAGGCGCTGGGCGCCCAAGACAGTCTACGGGCGCGAGTTCGGTCTGTGCGTCATCGACGAGGCGCACTTGGGCCGGACGATGAACAAGCTGTTCACGGCGTCGATGTGTCTTGGCGAGCGAAGCCGAGCAGTGGTGGCGATGACTGCCACTCCGGTGCTTACGAAGCCAGGCGTAAGTCTATAACTTGCGCTGTGTATTTGGTACTAAACGCGCATTGTAGGACTTGTGTAATTTAGGATGAATGATGGGCCTGGAGGGCTTCCGGGCTGAAGATCACGCTGACGTAATCTCAACAGCAAGAAGAATCAATAGCGCAAGGCGACGAGATATGCATCGTCTCAAGGATACCTTCGAAGAGAACTATCAAGAGGTTCTAGATATGTTGTTGAAGAACACGCAGGTCGCGTCTAATCCAAAATCTGAGTATCATGTGGAGATCATGAAGGCACTTGCAGATATACGCGAGAAATTCAAAGGTGCCATCGTTCGTCGAACGGTAAATTCGCTGGACTACATGGGGAGTCAAATCTCAGGATTGGCCGACTACCAGGAGCACAAGCTCCTGGTCAAGTTGGCTGATCATGAATAGGAGTACGTCACGGGGCTGACCAAAGATCTGATTTCCGAGGGTGGTCGTGAAGCGGTGTTTCAAATGGGCAAGGTAAGTTTCTTTCGAACGGGGATTGTTCTGGCCGTCCAGGATGTCCGCCTGTGCAGCATACACTGGGCAGCAGCTAGTCACACGACACTTAGCTGTCATCACAGCCGGAGCATGATAGCACAGTACGGGCGTCCAGGATGCCTGTACCGTGATGCAGTGCCCTCTGCAAAGATGGTTCGAGTTGAGTCAGTAGCCTAGCATTGTACAATCGGCCGTCCAGGATGCCCGTCCGTATCTACGCGACATTACTCATCTAACTTATCTAACAGAGTTTTTATTTGGGAATTCGGCGGTCGCTTACCCATATCGGCTGTTACGATGCGTCGTGGGAGGCTCCTACCAATGCGGAGGAAGCGGAGAAGGAGATCTCCACGAAGATCAAAGCGGTACTGGAGATACTCGAGTATCATCTCAAGGAGGATGGCCTGCCGCCTCTGCTCACGCCAGAGTCAGAGCCGGTATTGGAGAACGTCCTTGCACCCGCCCCAAATGCCGTTAAGGAGCCGCGCGGAGAAGGAGCCGCGCTGGACAAAATTATTGTCTTCGTCGCATTCCCTGCCAATCTCGAGGTAATATTGCCAGTAAGTACAGATCTTCCTTAAGCTTTACCTCGCTAATTTCAAATCTTAGTTCTTTGAGTTCTGTAACATTACCTGGATTGAAGTTACAGGGAACGTCACCATGAGTCAATGGGCAAAGAGAATTCAGCAATTCAAAGACAGCGGGTACGCAGACCTGTGCGTTCTCATCTTCTCGGGCATTGGATTAGTCGGACTGAATTTGGTGTGCACGAACATATTAATTATGATGGTAAGCGCACATAGATGCAAATGGCACCAGCTAACTGATTTATTAGGATACTTTATGGTCGGCGCAAGAGGATTCACAACTCATTGGGCGCGTATGGCGGCATCCGCAACCAAAGCAGGTGCACGTCTACCGCTTGATCGCATGGAACACGCCAGACATGTTCCTGAATCGTATCTCATTCGACAAGGCAACAATGATGAAGGCCTTTACGGGGATGCCGGGTCCGATGCGTAAGTAGCCTATTTGTAAATATCGCAGTATTACAATTACTCATTATGCAATTACAGGCAACTTATTCGGCCAGGAGTCTGATGCAGCGGATGTGCTCGATGACAGCACGTCCAATATTGAAGAAATACCTGAGCCAAAGAGGAAGAAGAACACTGGCGCCACAAAGTCGAACACGGGCAGGAAAGGGAAAAAATCCGCGCTGATTGTCATGGACAATGAAGATGAGGCAGGGCCATCCAGGACGTCCAGCGCTGCTCCGGCTTGCCCTGTGCCAGCACCCTGTCCGCACAAAGGCCCTCTGGCCCAAGACCTTGCGCCCAGCCTCCCCGCGCTGACACCAATTGTGCCCACAGCCCCGTCAGCCCCAGTCCCCGCCCCCAGGCAGGCAAGACCGTCCACACAGGCAGGGCCGTCCGTGACGCCCACGGCACCCTTCCATCTTGATTTGGCAGCTGATGTCGTCATGAGGCACGGCGATTGGTCAGGAATGAGTTCGCTGGTGGATGAGTCTTCCAAGTCAGATACATCGTCTTCAGCGGGTCAGCAATTGCCAACGAATGACGAGGCACGAATGCCCGATCTTGCAGGGATGCAGAATCTGGGTCTGCAGAATCTGGGTCTGCAGAGCGTTGATCCCATGACTGAAGACTTGGGTAAGTGTATCATCAATCTATATTCATTTTGGTAATATAATGCTTTCTAGAACTGCTTACTCCGCCTCTGGGTACGCCTCCTGCTGTTAAGGGACCTAACAACTGGGGATCAGGAGTTCAACTGTTAAACGGTTACTGGGACTAATACACGCTATA